GGTCTCAAGACTCCCACCCCGTCCCCTTCACTGCCCCATTCCTCTGTGTGTGCTATGCCAATTATCACCACCTCCACCACTGAGCCATCATGCTCAGCCTAGCACCTTGTGCTTTCCAAAACAAAAAGAGAATTTATTTTCATTCATAATTTTTACTCCTTCCCAGGGGATGTGAGGAGCTTTGTTTACTCCAGAGATCCCCTGGGTTACGCCTATATAAGCTCCAGCCCCTAAAGGATCAAGCCAGCAAGTCAGAAGATACAGAGCAGACAATAAGCAGACCTTTGAGTCTACAAATTGGAGGTTGAATGATTGGCAAACAACCTCTCCTCATGAAAAATTATGCTACAGCAACACAATAGTAATGGGAGCCAAAAGTATGTCTATTCCTGATTTGTAGACCAGGTTTTAGTTATGCTATAATCCTCTCAGTATGCCTGCTTAGGATCCCGCAATCACACAAGTCATGAACACTACCCACAAATCCTGCAGCTTCCATGCCGAGCAAGCGACACACCAGATGAAGAAGGATGGAAAATATACATGTGGAATTGTTCTGGGAACTTAAAGCACACATAACAGTAAACAAAGCAAATATGGTGCAAAACCTGTTGCTATTTTCACAGCATTTGTGGAGCAAAGCTGCATAAATGCAGAAAGATGCATACTGCCTCACACCTTTCCTCCGATCCCAGCAAATTAAGCACAGCAGCACAAACAGCAGCAGTGAGAAGGAAACACTATGCAGAAGAGCTGCCCCGTTTGCTGCTGCGCTACAGGTATATGTTTGGGTATGTGGGAGAGAGCTGAAAAAAGAGTGTTAAAATTACTTTTCCTTATGCCTCCTCCAGAGCCTCAGCTGCTCACGGGAAACTGAACAGGGAGAGATTCCCTCGGCGCCGTCCTCCCTCCTCCAGGCACAGCCTAAGCCAGTTTGAAGAAGCCACTTTGCTGCTGTTGTTCCCTGTCGCACTTGGGGACAGTCTTCACGAAGCTAGCGGCAGCCTAAAAGGCTGCCTCTGCTCCCTGCGGAAAAGGCAGTGCCGTTGCCGGATACCAGAGCACGTGCTGAACGAGAGGCACTACAGACAAATTTTGGCTGGTGGCAGGAGAGATGGCTGAAAGCCAGCTGACAGAGAAGAGCAATATCAATCTCTATGCCGGGGGAATCCTCTGAAAATGCTACTGAAGCAAACACCAAACGCTAACGGCACAGCGGCAAACAAGACACGAGTGATCCTAAGCTCACGGAGGAGAGAAAAAGGCAAATGGCTGAACCGAAGTGATCAACACGAACTTGAACCGTGGCACAGGGCAAACATGTGGTGTGCCGTATGGAAACTCAGAACAAAACAGAAAGCTTGGAACAAAATGAAATTAAAAATCTGCTTTTATTTCAAATTACTCCACTAAACATCTAACTGAAAATTGTCTTGGAAGTTGACGTGACTTTGTGACATGTTGTTCTTTGAAGACTGCCATTTTCTATCAAAAAAAAAGGTATTAAAAATGTTTCAATCTGGTTACCTTCTATCCAGCACGGCTAGAAAACTTTAAATCATGAGCTAAAAACTAACACCACACCATTAGTCAGCAAGAAATAGCTGTTCAGCCAGCATCCATCATAATATTTTTAAGAATCCATAGATACCGAACGCCTAGAAAGGAAGGACGGCAACCACTCCAAGCATGGATTTAGAACTTCAAAAAAATTAATTTATCAAACCCGTTTAAAGACAGGCCCCATGCAGCCTCCCTTTGCCCACTGTTTTTAGATATAACCTATCCAGGAAAGGGTGATCAAACATCTGTCTCCAAAACAGATGAGCCTTCTGCCTCTCTTCTCCTACAAACAAGAATGACCCTCCCATAAGCTACACAGTCCTGGAGTATGATGGCGTTCTGTATTCTGGGAGGTCTTCCGCTGAACAGCCTCACACTAAAGCATCCCTGCAAAAGTACCTAAGCTGCCAAATCGAGGGCTTATTTGATGAATGGATTTTCAGAAAAAATTGAAATTCTTCCTGTATAATTTCTAATAAGTATCTGAATTAAATCAGATCATGAAGAATTAGATCAAGAGGAGTGAAAATTAAGAATCTGGAGCATCTCTCCCATGAGGAAAGGCTGAGAGACCTGGGACTATTTACCCAGGAGAAGAGAAGGCTCAGGGGAAACCTCATCAATGTATATAAATACCTGAAGAGAGGGTGCAAAGAGGACAGAGCCAGGCTCTTCTCAGTGGTGCCCAGTGACAGGACCAGAGGCAATGGGCACACACTGAAACACATAAGGAAAAAACCTTTTACTTTGAGGGTGGTCAAACACAGGAACAGGTTGTCCAGAGAGGTTGTGGAGTTCCCCTCCTTGGAGATATTCAAAAGCCATCTGGACATAGTCCTGGGCAACTAGCTCTAGGTGGCCCTGCTTGAGCAGGCGGGTTGGATCAGATGACCTCCAGGGGTCCCTGCCAACCTCAACCATCCTGTGATTCTGTGATAAATAGATGAATTATCATCACTTATGCAAAACTATATAAAAAGAAAAAAAATCAAGAAGTAATGGCAAGAAATGAAAGATTTCCATATTCATTATGGCCAGAAAAGTTCTTTATTGGACAGTATTTGTCAATAATAGACCTATTTGTCCTATAATAGACCTAAAGGCATAATGACACTAGAGGGATAGCTCCACTAAGCTCAGCTACGAGGCCTAAAGCTAGCCCAAAATGCTTATATGTAAAACTCAAACATGCCCGCAACATTACAGTATAAAACCGTATCCATAAATTTTCAACTCCCCCCTCTCACATTCATTAAGTTCACTGGTGAGATCAGAGAACTAATTTCCATTGGCAAACTCTATGGCTATATCAGTGAATGACCAGAGTGGGAGCTGAAACAACCATCATCAGAGCAAAAGGCAGTGGATAGTCTATTTTAGTTCTTGCTCTCTGTCCTCTAAGGAATACTACAATCACAGAAACACCTCCTAGGCTATATAGTTTATTTGCCTGCCAGTGTGAGATTCTTCCCTACGATAATTTTAACACTTGCTTTTGCCCAGTTAAGAGCAATGTGTCGCATCTAAGGAAAATGAGCTTATTACGAGCCCCCCTTAGACACTGGGTTTTGTAGTACCCAACGGATCATGGTGCTGCATCGTATAACAGGGAAGGTGCCAAATTGTTCAGACAACATGCTAGCCCGAAACCGGAGAGTCAGCAACATAACAGGATCCCTCTGAGTGCTGGGCCCCGATACAAATATTCTTGCCCCCTTGCTGCAGCACAGTGTCCTCTCCCCTGCTCAAGGCACAGTTGATCAGTCCTGGCATCTCACGGGTGTGAGACATGCAACCGCGGTGCGGCGCGGTAGTAATGTGCAAGAAATAGCCCAAGCTGTGAAAGAGCGGGAGGTAATTTTGTGAGTCTCATACTTAGATGCAGCTTTACACCCCCCTGGTCCTGCAGCAGCCCAGCCTGCTCTCCAGAGATCCCGGTGGAGATCACCAGGATCTTTCACCCTGCGGAGGACTTCAAAAACCAACTCCAACCGTGGTCACCTGAAGGTGTTCACAAAAGGAAGAAAAGCAACCCTAAAGGCGGTGGCTGAAAAAGAAGTGACCGCGATGAAAAACATGCGGAGAAAATGCCAGAAGGCTGATGCAATCATCCTCTCTCCAAAGACCCAGTTACACAGGATGAGTTGTCCCGAAGATGAGCCGCAGGGCTCCCACTTCTCACCAAACCCATTTGGGTGAACTATTTGCGGAGTCATCTTCAGCTGGGTAATAGTTTCCTTGCAAGGTTTTCTATACGAAACCTAAATCACACAAAAACGGAGAGCCCATCTATTTAAACAATTTTCCAATATATCTATGTCCCATCTGTAAAGGTACTCGGAATTTTTCAGCCACGTTTCTAACTATCTCAGAGAATGAACCAAGGAAGCCAGCCACACAAGCCCCCCAAGATTAGGAAATATAGAGCATTCCACAGCTACCTAAAACAAATAAAATACAAAATAGTCCCTTACTTTAAATGCAGAAAAGACCACTAAAACAGTTATCTTAAAATAATAAGGCAGCACTAAAAAAATTAAGACATGATAAAAATAAGATTGTTCACATACCCCTCGCTCTTTCACCATGAGAATGTACATTATAAACAGCCTTTTTTTCCCCAGACACTTGCTATTTTTCTGCATATTTAAACACAGATGTGGGTGCTTAGCAACTGTAAAACAAAGTCATTTACTTAAATAACTGAGTATAGATTAAGGTACTTCATTTTATATACGTACTTTTAAAATATTGTGTCTGTTTTATAATATTATTTAACACCTAGAGAGACAGAATCCTCATATATGGGTTCCAAAAATAAGTCACTTACCTTTGCACTTAAGCAAAGAAATAGGGATTTGAGTCTGCTCTGTAGGTGTCTGTGCAATTGTACATGTGTGCATTCGTGTGTGTGCATGTGCGTGCTTTGTATACAAGTTACATACATATACAACGGGCAAGAACAGAAAAAGATGTAGGAAAATAAACGATTAACATGTTAAAAGTGTTAGTGTGAATAAATGCAGTTATACAATGTTAAGGTCTGTATCATTCAGTGTATCAAAAATTGTTATGAATCAGGAAAAGTATTTTACTAGAAATGCCCTTTTAAACTGGAGACAAACAGGAAAATCAGGAAAGTTCCAACATTTCAGAAACATTGTGGAGCCACTGCACTGCAGTATTTCACTAGTATTTCCAAACACAGAACATGAACTTTTTCAAGTTACTCGAAACACTGTCTTCATAAAAGGTTTTGCTGAACGAATTAGTCAACAGTATATAAAAAATGTTTCCCTGGAGTGCGCATTATTTTGCACCACTCGCAAGCAAAAAAGTTTTTGAAGAGGAATAATACATTTTGTTACACTAATTGGTCTGGCTGACAAAAACAGAGATTTTTTTTAAGCATACAAACTTTTCTTCAGATCTCTTACCTATTTGTTTCCTGTACTGGTCAACAGGAGTCCTTGCTGTAGAGGCATCTTTTCTACCCATCGTTTGCAATCCAAAAATCACTGTCAGTATCAGAAAAAAAAAATGCATTATTCCTAAATAAGTTACTAAGGAAATCAATGACTTATAACATCAGAAAAAAACTGTAACGAGCAACATTTACATGATTATACACAAAGATGTAAGCCTTCCCAGAGTACAATGAGACACTGAAGTTAATCATCACTATTCTGAAGATTATTAGATAAACTCTAAACATACCTTTTTCCCCATTGCATGGGTTATTAACATTACAGAACGCCTGTTAGTTTGAATAAAAAAAGGAAAAAAAAAAGGATTTAAACTGATTGCACTCTCATTCAGCATTCGGTACCACTGAATTACATTCCTATATAATTTTTTTCTTTAGTAAACCAGGGATTGAATGTAGTATTGTGAGCTGCTTCTATTGTTGGCAAACACATTTACACTACGCCTGGGAGTCTGAGGCAGGATCAGGCACGTGCGCATCCACAGGTGTAATGGCTCAGGAAACCCACCTGCAGACGCAGCCCTCCAGCCACCCTGAGCAAAAGAAAGGAACCGATACTTAAAACACAGGAACCCCACACTGTCCTACCTTCCCGTCATGGGCTCTAGAGATCTGCGAATGAAAAGAAAGTGGAGAATGAAGGTGAGAGCTGGGGCTGTGCCCAATTTACACCTCTCTGCCAAAGTATTGAGAGTTTAAATCACCTTCAAAGCATTTAGGTAAAAACCATCCTGATTCTTGAATGGGCTTCTCACGGTGCACAGCGCAAGCAGGTGGTGCTAGGATTCCACAGGGAACTGCACTATCATTCATCCAAAGATGCTCTTTTTGGTAATTTGGTGCTCCCACACCATCCGTGTAACTGAACAAGCCTCATCTGAGTAGTGTTCTAGCAAACCCCTGATATACCCATTTAATGTGCAAAACCTTACGGTCTCTTATCCATCCCCTCACAGGGCTGCCACTCAAAAGATACAGTAAGATTCTACAACATGCTCATTTCACATCTTTTTCCACAGTCAAAAAATACCTGGCTTTTATAGTCATGCTTGTCGCTCAAAACACTGGTTTTCAACCATTTTGGCTGGGCTGAAGACATCACTTATCACAGATGATAAGCCCCACTGTTTGACCATCTTTACGACACAAGCGTCCCAACATCAACGCCTGCACTCACACGAGGACTGAAGTTTTCCAGAAGTGTCAGATTTACCGTTCGAGCACAGAAGACGCACGACAGCCAACACTTGCCTTTTCCCAACCGGCCTTGGTGAGCGCAGTGCCAAGGGCAAACTTTGGCTGAACCGTCCCGGGTAGCCACAAACCGTCTGCAGACTGTGCACAGATGGCCTTGGAGTATCTGCAAGAGTTTTACTTTTCTGCCAGGCATAACCAGCTGCGTTACAGCAAGACAAGCTCCCCCAGGCTCTGCCAAGGCACACTGTCTGGGAAGTGCAGCCCTTGCAGGCACTGCGATGCCAAACTGTGGGCCAAAAAGCATGCCAAGGCACTGCTGAATGGGCTACCATCAGCACCCCAACCTTAAACATCTACCATTACTTCCTTCATAGCTTCAAACAAGGGGGGGTTTGTATTTATCTATTCTATAAGAATTATTGGCATTTAATGTCAAGTTACAAATCCAGGCTCCTTAATTTAAAGTGCGGGACACAAGGGCATAAAATGAACTTTGGTGCTCAAAAGTCAGCAACCTTTTTTAAAGGTATTCAGGAATAACAACAAGGTATAAAAGACTGCCATTATTTTTTAATCCAAACTGAAAACTCAATTATAGTGTTCTAATGTTTCCATACGTTACTTTGGTTTAATCCAGAGAATACTCCCATTTTATGTAAAACACATAAGCAGTGAACTGTAATCCACTGGGGTTTTCTTCCCCTCTATTAGCTTCCCAGCTATTCTCCTGACTGAGTTGTATTTCTTGCATAACGTTCACATAATCACGAGAGTAGGAAATAAAAGTACCATTTGAACTTTCAGCTAGTTGAGGAGATAACAGATACATTTTTACACTGCAAAACTAGTTCTTGGCTTTTTTATACCACTGTTAGAGACTGTTTTGACTTGCCTTTTGCAACTTCAATAGCCTACTACTGTTTTGTAACAAAACATCAGCTGTGAAAGATGTTTGCAGTTTTAGCAGTGCCAATAAAACACAAGAAGAAAACACAGGCAAAAATTATTTCCTGACTTAATATGAGCCACAGAGATGCTCGCATCTGCCCTCGTGGCTGGGTGTCACCAACTCCCACATCTAGAACCTTGACTCCTCTTTGTTCTTCAAAGGGATGCAGTAATCATCATTCATTTCCACCGCTTTGATGGTTAGATAGCAAACGCCCGGGAAACCCATGGAGACATTAGCACATACAGCTGCAATGTCTAATAAGACAGCTATTTGCATAAAAGATCAGCCACAATTTAGAATGTGTTGTGATAGATGTGGAAAGGGAATAACAGATCTATATTAGCATGTACGAAACCGAGATTGTTTTCACAATTTAATTCCTCAGGGACTGTGGCTCATCACCTTCTCTTGTAAAGAACCCTGCATTCCCTGAGGAAGCAACTTGCCATGAGCCAGAGTTAAACTAAAATATGGATTAATAAGAGATAATATTCATTATTTATGAACCTTGCTGTAGGAATGGTTTTCAACGTAACTTTCTGATCAGATTTCCATAAAGGAAAAGCCTGGAACCTTTATGAGTCATGAAACGATTTGAAAAGCGCCTTTTCCCCATTTAAAATATCATAGTCGTCCTAGAATAACTGGTCATCTGAACTTTACTGTAAATGAAATTTGCACTCAAGTCTTTCCCAGCTGTCTTCGGCCGCTCCGCTATGTCTGACATCAGCAAGGGGAGGATCTGGCTTTTCCTGTATTTCTTTGCCAAACCGAAGGGATAGGCAGCGCACCGTGCTGCACGCACCCCGAGCAGCCTTCAGGTCCCTAGAATTTTAATGACTACAAAACTATTTAAAAAACATGTAAAGAAGCTTGTCACTGCTCTTTTTACAGGCTACTAAAAATACTTCAAGAGTAATTTCAGATCATTTGAAGGAGACGTGAGCCCTCCTCAACTTTCAAGCTTTTACAAAAGATGGTTTTAAGAAAACAAAGTGAGGTCCAAAGGAATGATTTTTTTATCGCTATTTCAGAGATACAACAAGGTCAAAAAATGTCTTTGTTTTTGTGGTACCCTTCACTGTTTTTTCACCCTCTTTCTCTTCCCCTCTAGTAACTCACCTTTGAAGGCTTACACCCTTGGAAGAACTCAATTTTTCTTTTTCTCCTCTTTTATTCATGAGCAGTGACTGATAACAATTAATACACACAATAAATTGCCTATTATCACCTCCAACTGCCAACAGCATTTTGTGAGATAAAAACCAGTTCTGAATGTCCATTCAAGGTTGTGCTGGTTTTGGTGGGGATAGAGTTAATTTTCTTCACAGTAGCTAGTATGGGGCTGTGTTTTGGATTTGTGCTGAAAACAGTGTTGATAACACAGGGACATTTTCGTTACTGCTGAGCAGCGCTTACACAGAGTCAAGGCCTCTTCTGCTTCTCACACCACCCCACCAGCGAGGAGGCTGGGGGTGCACAAGGAGTTGGGAGGGGACACAGCCGGGACAGCTGACCCCAACTGACCAAAGGGATATTCCATACCATATGACATCGTGCTCAGCATATAAAGCTGGGGGGCAGAAGAAGGAACGGGGGCAATGTTCAGAGTGATGGTGTTTGTCTTCCCAAGTAACTGTAACACATGATGGAGCCCTGCTTTCCTGGAGATGGCTGAACACCTGCCTGCCGATGGGAAGTACTGAATGAATTCCTTGTTTTGCTTTGCTTGCATGCATGGCTTTTGCTTTATTTATTAAACTGTCTTTATCTCAACCCACGAGTTTTCTCAATTTTACTCTTCTGATTCGCTCCCCCATCCCACCAGGGGGTAGTGAGCGAGCGGCTGTGTGGGGCTTAGTTGCCGGCTGGGGTTAAACCATGACATAGGTCTGGCCACAGGAGTGTTTAAATCCCAACTCACTATTCTTGATGCATACACAGCTTGTACCAACCAAAAAAAATTTAAAGCAATTACTTTAATGAAATAGAAACATACCGTGAATGACTTTAGAAATACCAATAAAAAATAAGTACAGGGACTATATAGCACAAAGATTGCACCTTGTACATTTATGGTGTAATACAAATGATTAATAACAGTGATAAGCCTTAAAGCGTGAACCAGCGAACACTCAAAGATCTACGTATGTGTACAAACTTTCTTAGCAGTGATATTTGATAGTATGTCTGTATTCTTCAACAATAAGCTGCCTAAATACTAATAGAGGGCATGTTAAAGAAATAAAAATAATCAATGAAATGACTGGTTTTGTAGCTGAAATATTGCTAGTCAGTTGAGAGAAAAGCAAGTAAAACTTCAGGATAGAAAAGAACCACTACAGAATGTAAAAGTACTGGACCAAGTCTTCAGCCGTAATTGAAAATGCAGATGAATGCACAGTGAGTATCTGCATATATGCAGAAGTACCTTATCCTTAATTGCAAATGGATATCTAACTTAAAAATCCTCTTTTTTTTTTTTTTTTTTTATTGGATGCAATGCAGGTTGATAATTTGAACTCGCAACCCAAATAATTTTTTAATATGATTCAAAGATTACTGATGCCAGTGAAAGAATTGGTCTTTTACCAGTCAATTCCATAGCTCACAGTTTAATAAATAATGGATATTAAAATCCTTACAAGCTACAAAAGAGCAAAAATAGCCTTTTATCCTCCTTGGGTAAAATCCAAGGAGCACATCAAATCCTCTGTGAACATCAAGTTATTCCAAAGAACTGGTAGCACTGCACTTAAAGCGGGAAGCTGTCTGCATGTAGGTATTTTGGAAATCATTGCTGTCGGTTATTTTAACTGGCTTTTTTTGGTATACTGCTGAAGTACAGTAACTAAGGTCTGT